GGGTAACGGAGCTCTCAGCTACCCCCGGATGTGACCTAGTCTAGGCTGTTTTTCTACGTGTTCGGCTCACCTATGTCGCGGTTGCGGTGTATGTGGTTTGTTCCTAGCAAGCGAGGGAATTCTTCATAGGCTGCTGGTTGAGCTTGAGCCAGACTTAGTGACTGTTTCTCTCTGTCCTTTTTGCTGCCTACTCCGATGTGAGGTGAATAATGCTCCTTGTAGGCCTAGCCTCGAATGAACACTTCGCCTAGAAGGTTACTTATGTTGACTATCGGAGTGTGACCCCAACTGTGAATGTATGCTCATCTGTGGGCCTAATCGAAAGTGCACGCTCTTTTGCGTGCTAAGACGGAAGTATACGTTATCTCGGGGGCCTAATCGGGAGTGTACACTACTCGAATGCTCAGTTTGTGGCTGGTCCAGTGGCTGCTTGCCGGGACACTATTGAAGAGGTTATTCGTCTACCCTTGTCCTACTTTGGGACACCTCGTCTGGGGCACGTTGTATTTCGGTATGCTGCAAGAGCTGATTCACCAAGGTCGTCTGTTGTGTGTTGACGCTCGTCAATTATGTGACTTGTCGAGACAAGAGTTGTTCTCTATTTAGGTTAGAAGAGTTTGGAAGGAATACGTCTCCTTGAGCAGTAGAAGTGTGGTAGACTCCAGGCTCGAGATTTGGTTGGGAAATGTCAAATCTGCGGAGAAATGTGGTGAAAATGTCCCCGGTTCAATCGTAGGTCATGAAATTTGAAACCAGGATGGTTGAACTAATCTTGGACTGATTTAGGCTGCTTGGAAGGCCACTGAAGCAGGCTGGGCCGTGGGAGCAGGTTAGGCCACGGGAATGGGCTACTCAACGTGTGTTGTACATGGGTGCGAGGCTAGGGCTCGGCTTGGTAACGCGTTAGGTTTGCGTCGAGCTTGAATGGCTTGGGCTTGGGCCTGTGTGGGCTTGATGGCACGACTTTGGCCGTGGTTGTGGCGTTGTGGGCCTTGCCAAGGATAACTGCCATGGTTGTTGCCACAGTGGTGCCCCGTGGGGGTGGTGTCGCTCTACTCATCGTTCTGTTGAGCCTCATAGATCGCTGTGGTCTTAATCCTTGAATATTGGAATTTTTGTTCGTCGAATCTCTTGTAATTGTACTTTTCTTTTACATTTATCAAAGAATTTTTAGAAATAAAAATTCCAAGAATAAGAACATATGAAAAATCTACAAATAAGTAAGGAAACGAAAAACCTTAGATGCGAGAGTCTTCTACGAGTGTGTGACTTAACTCTCAATGAAAGTACCAATTTGTGGATGCAAATTTCCGTCTTCTTCTTCTTGGACAAAATTGCACCTTCAAAACAAATAACACCTTAGGTCAAGGCCAAGAGCGTTATGCACCCACGATGAATAGGGGGCTTTGGCCGAAGAACCTCCAATGCCAAAGGTAGAATTTTGAGGGAAAAGTGTTTGGATAATTTAGAGAATTTTGCAAGATAGTTGGAATTGAGTTTTGGAGAAAATGAGGTAGTATTTATAGGGGTATGACCGACCCGTTTAGGAAGATGGGGATCGACCACTTGGATGGTCTTTTGGGTGTGATTCATAATTTGTTAGCTAATTAATAAATTAATTGAGTAATAAATCAATTAATTAGCTAATTAATATAATTTGAAGGGAATGATTTGGGGTTACCTTGTAGAGAAGATTTGATGAAGATGGATGAAATAAGATTTGAATAATTATCTATTTTGAGCACTTTTGACCTTTATTGAGTCATGATTGTCCATTGCTCACGCGTAGGAGTTCTGGTATTCCTCGAGGGTAATTTTGTCCTTTTAACCCTAGAATCCACATGTCGCCTCCATATTTTTCTCGATTATTTTTTGCTCCACAACTATGGTATTTGTTTAGAGGATATGTTATATTAAGTGAACTTAGTAAAAAACTTTGTCGAGGATTTCAATCTAATATAAAGAAAAAAACTATCACTTTCCAAAATTAAACTATTCTCTAATAAATTAAATATATTAAATTAGATCAGGAAGTTCTTGAAACCTTACACGATGTTGTACTATGATAAGTTTATATCTCGCCAAATTTTTTAAGTTGAAATTCCAATTTAAGAAACTTGAACCGCTATAGATGTTGCTCCACATGGCAGCCTATAAGGCCTCTGTATGGGTTTATCTACACGACAATGTGTTGTTCTCTCGTATGTGAACCTATAACATTTTTGTGGAATTCAAACATTAGATCTTAGAGTTGTAATTGGCCATTATTTGTGCAAGCATTGCCAATCTAGAGTGTTGTTAAAATGTTGTTAAGAGTGTTGTCAGATTGTCATGTAATTGAGAAAGAAAGTTGATAAGACTATTGTTAAATTGTCATGTAATTGAGAAAGAATGTTGTAAAAGTTATATGTGACTTGTTGGAACTTGCCATTCGTTAATTAGATGTTTTGGAGAGCCCAATGAAATTGTCTTTTGGCGAGAAAAATTAGGAGTGTGCATTCAATTGTGACTTTAAGGGATTATAATTCTATTTACAAATCCAAAGGTATTAAATTAAGATTTTAAATAACTCTCTGAAAATTTAGGTGTATTCAACTAAAATTTTAAAGGAGTTTTTTTATAGCAAAAAAATTCATTGCTAAAGCATAATTTTGTTGTAATAATTGGTTGGGATTAAACGCAAAAGACAACTTTAATTTATTTAAACGTTGCGGGTCAAAATAATGACTCTTGAAAACATTAAAGACACCAACCCAACCCAACACCCTAGACTAATCACCTCACCTCGCCGATGCCAATAACTTCACCTTCTTGCAGCCCCCACCCCTCGTTTTCGTTTCTGCAGTCTAATCCCAACCAATTGCCTTAGACGACAAGCCCAATCAAACCAAACAAAGAGTAATCGAGGAAGGGGCTGAGCACCAGGTGCGATCATCCCGATTGTGATCCCAAATTGCGTGGAAATGTTGGTGGTTGTGTTGTTCCTCATGGCCCACTATTGTGCAAAAGACAACACGACTCTGCAATGACACCCATTGGATTTGCAACACTAATTTTATCGAAATCGTTCGTCAGACCTGCACTGATCTATTAATCCGTTGCGAGCCCAGTAGAAAGAAGAAGATGATGAAGGAAGAAAAAGAATTAGAGTGAAAAATTAAAGCTTGCCGAGTGAAAAAAATTAAAGCTTACCTAGTAGAAGAAGGAAAGAGCAGGGAATAGGGGTTCGGGGTCGAGGGTGGGAGGGAGGGGGTAGATAGATGAAGTGGGGAATGTGAGACCATGATTTTTTCAAGACCGGGATAAGGAGAATCGATATACGCCTGCTTTAGAATTGCGGTCATGGACTCAACAACCTTCATTGCAGAGCTGACTAAACGGATTAGTGAAACAACCATCATCCTGTTCCGGAATTAATGAGCGAAGTCCATCAACTTCGCTGGATAGACCATGCTTGTTCTGCAAGATTCAAGAACCTAATCCAACAAGGAATCAACAAGTTTCCTATAATCTTGGAGTCTTTACAATCTAAGGATTGACGTGTGCCGCAAGTATTCGCACTTCTAAGAGGATGCAATATCTACTTCTTAGATATCCTATAGGATTCTCCCGATTTAAGAAGGGTTATACTATCCTAGAGGTCCTGTCTTCGAATGGTATAAATACACCTTTCTAGGGCTTATCTTGGGTAATGCAATATTTGCATACTTATTCTCTTGGTCACTACTTGAGTCTTAATATTGATTACTAACATAACTGTTGGAGAGTCTTTAACCGACACACCTTCTAATCTTAGGCTTGCTTACGATTCTTCTATAGGTAAACAAATTTTAGCATCTTCACATTCTACAACAGTGCGAAATTTAGCAACAGGGAAGAAAGGTGAGGATGGATGGGCCCCACAATGTTTTACTTTCTTAATTTGTTTTATGTTTAGTTTAAATGTTAAAATGTTATAAAATAATTACAAAATTAACTAGTGTTGAATTAAATGACACATGTCATGTTATATGGTAGGTGTGAGCATACTTTAAAGTTAATACTGATGAGCAAAAATGCTCCCTTAATTAAAATTGATTACCAAACGTTCATTATTCTAATATTCAAACTTTCTTCTTCTCCGTCACCAGAATATTTCCCAGCCTTCATCTCCCTGCACCAGTAAGCACTTCCAGGTCTCCCATCACGTCTCATCCTCTAACTTTTCTCAGCCGACCCTGCATCAAACCAACATCTTATTTTCAAGGAAGTCATGAAACTGCCATCGGAGTACAGGCGAATCACCGCCACCTTCCTTCCCCTGCTGCCATGACTGCTTTAGAATAAAAAAATGATGGATTGAGGGTGAGGTCGATTGAGAGAGATTGGAGGATATGACAAAGTGGGGTCAAGTGGAAGAGGCTGGAGGAGAAGACGAGTGTGGATTCGAAGAAGGGCAAGGGTTGCAGGAAATGAGGGGTGGTCAACCATGGTTGGTCAGGTTATGAGAGGAAGAAGGACATTGTTTGGTTATTAGGTTAGGACATAAAGAAGGATGTTTGAGCATCAAAATAGCAAGAGCTTATGGTAATTAAATGGACAGGTGTAACATTCTTAATGGGCCACGTAAGTGGTCAGTAAAACTTAAGTAGCAACGAGGAAGTATTCAAGTATTGTCCGGAACAGTAAGGTAAAAAACAAAAGGAAAGAAATCTAGAAAAGAAACGAAAATAAGTATTGAGTTTGCTTACATCCCACTTCCTAGATACACAAATGGCGGAAGTTGGTTGGTGGAGAGTACCCAAGCTAATTCTCATGTGAGAATAAAGCATCTCACGTGTCAGAATCTAAATCCAACACAACACTGCTTTTTTGGTGGATTCCAATGCCCTCCAGTCCATGTCTCTGACGCCTCACTTTCTATCCTGACTTGTGACTGCAACTACTTAAATCCCCAAAATACCCCTGCACAACTGCCTATTGCCTCAGATATTTCCGTAATTATCCATTTCCTTGAAATCTTGACTCCTGCCCAAGTCTTTCCACTTTCAAGTTATGACGGCATCGTCGTCCAAAAGCCCCAAAATCTTTCTCTAGGGTTTCACGGGTAAGATTCCAAATCCCTAATAAAGTCCCCTTGTTTTTCCCCAATTCGAGCTCCTAGGGTTTCGATTTTGCGGTAATGTACATATTCAGGGTTTCGTTCACGGGAAATTTTGGATTTTTACGGGTTTTTGATTGAGGGCTTTGGTTTTTTCGAATTCGCGTTTGAATTCCAGGAAGGTTGGGGTTTATCTGAGTGAAGATCTGTGCGGTTGGTGTTTGATTATTGTAGGCAAGTTTTGGGTTTAGGGTTTTTTTGTTGGATATTTATTGGTGTGGATTTAGGGTTTTTGTTGGTTTAGAGTTGAACTAATGGCTTCTGTGGGTAAGGAGGATGTGGAGTATGAGAGTGATCCGGAGGTAACGAAGCGATCTCTGGCGATGCGGAGGAGGGAAGCGGCCAGCGACGATGAGGAAGGTGAAGAGGAGGCGAGGGAGAAGCCGAGGAAGGATCCGAGGGCCGCGGTTCACTCCGATGAATCGGATGATCAGGGTGGGGCGGCTGAGTATGATGATGACGAAGAACTAGAAGAAGAAGAAGGAGAAGAAGAGGAAGAGATTGATGAAGAAGAAGAGTTTGAGGAGGAAGTTGTGGAAGAAGAGGAGTTGGAAAGATATCAGGAGAGAGGCCGGGAAGGCGAGATGGGTGGCAGGGTTGAGGTTTTGGCTGTTAAGGAATCGAGCGGTGATGGTCGGAGGTCTGTGGAAGGGTCCGTGGATGAGAATGGGGGGAATCAGGCTGAAGAAGGGGAGGAGAAGAAGGAGAATGAACCATTTGCAGTCCCCACAGCGGGTGCTTTTTATATGCATGATGACCGCTTCAGGGAAAACTCTGGTGGTCGGCACAGGTAATTGTTTATGATTTTTTATTGCATTTGCGTTCATATGAATGTAGGTGTAGTTTGGCGAGTCGTACTGTTGTAATATAGAAGTGAACTTGTGCAGCTGTGATAGTAGCTCCTTTATGGATCATTGTTTTCCTTCGGCATCACGCCCCCCCCCCCCCCCTTCTTCTCCTTCTCCTCTTCTCTCTTTTCATGGTCAAGTTATGGTGTATAGCGCTGTAATAATTTGAAGCATTCTCCTTTCAGTAGGCGAACACGTGGTGGAAGGAAGCTGTGGGAGTCCAGAGATGAAAGAAAATGGGGGCACGATAAGTTTGAGGAGATTACTTTTCAGGAAAGGCGCTATGAAGAAGTAATAGTTTTATACATGGTCATACTGCAGAATATTTTGTTCTATAGATCTTTTTGCATCTCTCATCTTTCTGATGTGCACTACTTACTAATTCAGGGAAAGAAACCTTCAAAGGGTCCTTATGTAGGTCGCGGAAGAAACCGAGGTATTGATCGTGGGAGTGCCAGAGGAAATAGGTCTAAAGAATATGACAGGTCTAAAGAATATGACAATAATAATCAGAGACAGGTACCCAAGGGTGTTAGAGGGAGAGGGCCCAGGAGGTATGAACCGGCTTTTAGGAATAACAGACAGGCACCGCCAACACATAACAAACAGTGAGTACAACGTATTCTTATGGTACTAATATGTCTTCGTTAATTCATGATTTTTTATAATTAGCCGTCACATTGATTTTATTTTCAGGTCTGGAAAGCCTGCTGAGAAAAACGTACAAAGTAATTTAGAGAGAACATTTACTCCCAACTCAAATGCAGAGTCTGGCCAGGTTTCTGCTAGGAAAAATTCCTTTGCCTCAAGCTTGAATTCAGCTTCTCCTCCTTTTTACCCATCAGGCTCTTCCAGTTCCAATAAAGGTATAACTCTTACTCCTAAGCGGGATGCACAGGTTGGGAGTGGTAAGAGGAACCTTCGGTCTTCTGTAGTGCATGAGAGTTTCAATGTTCCCCAAACCAATGCATTGGAGCGAGGTAAGAACATAGCTGAATCTGTCGGTATGGACAAGCTTTATATAAATGACTCTACCAATCCAGCTGCTGGGAAGACTTTGACCAACAGAAAAATGTCACCTTCTGGGTCATCATTTGTCAATACTACTCAAGCTCCTCAGTCTAGGGTTCAAGGAAGGGGTGTTATCTCAGGACAAATGAGTTATCAACCAGTGTCTCAGAACCAAATGACAAGGGCTTCTCCATCCACACATCTTCATGCGGTTCAGCGCAATCCTGCTCAAAATCGATCTCAACTGGCTCTGCAAGGTCCTGCTCAGCAGATGGGACAACGTCCTGGAAGTGGATCTCAGGCTTCCTCTCCACCCAAAACAACCATGTCATCAAATTCCTTCGAATCAGGAGAAGTTGAATCACCTTCAGATTCAAGTAAATCTAAAGGTGCCCTGGTTGCAAAGGGAAAAGGCAGTGTTCAGGGTAGTGCAAGGGGCAGTATTACTTATGGCGGAGCTCCAGTTACGGGACCCACTGGGAGTATGGGTGTTAATCATGATCAGAACTTCCCTGGTGCTCCAGCCTTTCTGCCTGGTAAGTATATTGGATTACCATTTTGGTAGAATTATAGAGTTGCCCTTAATTATAGAAGGAAAATTGGGCTTAGTAGCCCTTTTACAAACCCACCAACCAAAAATAGCCCTGCTCTCAAAGTGCAATTTCTACTAGCCCTCTTTGACGAAAATGCCTTCAAGTTAATATATTATTGGCATTATTAATACATTATCGACACAATACTGATAGATTATCGATACAATATTAATACATTATTGACACCATAATTTTTAGTAAGAGGCTTTTCACTTGAGGGTATTTTCGTCAAAGAGGGCTAATAGATATTGCATTTTGAGAGCAGGACTAATTTTTGTTGGTGTATTTCCAAAAGGGCTAGTAAGCCCCAATTTCCCTTTATGGGAATGCAAAGTAAAACATAATCAAGGTTAATCATCTGTTTTTGCCCCGCACTGTCAACGTAACAAAACATGTTCACTGCTTCTCTGAACTGTCTATGATTTCACCGCAATGTTGTTCTCTGAACTGCTTATCGATAATGATTGACAGTAGCTGCAGATTAAATTATTAGTGCATATTAAGTTGTGTCTTTTTCTAACATTTAAGCATTCAATAGATTATGATTTGAGGTCTTATCTGGTTGGATGATTGTGCAGTCATGCAATTTGGGGGCCAGCATACTGGGGGTATGGGAGTTCCTGCTGTTGGCATGGCGTTCCCTGGATATGTTGCTCAGCCACAACTTGGTGGTTTAGGAAATTCTGGCGAAATGACATGGTACGGGAATTGTATTAATGATATTTATTTCTGTTGGTCTTGTCTTCTTCTTGTTCTTCTTCCTTATGGGAAGTTGATATCTTATTTAGTTCAGTTAGTGGTTGATTACTCTGCATTATGAATTATTGTCTGCTATAAAGAGAATTATGCGAAGGGGTGTGTATTTAATTGAGATTTTTAAGATTTTAAGAGAGTTGTATATTTGTGAAGTGTGATGGAGTTCTAATGGAGTTTCATATATCCATGTGAATTCATTCAAAATCTTTGGGGGAGAGGCAAGATTTCCTAAAGCCTAAAATGCACTATAAAATCTGTTTAAATCCATAAAAATTCTTTTAACTTTTTAAAGTACTTTAAAATCAAATCTGAATTGAATACACATGGATTTTTATACTACTTTAAAACCTGATTGAATACATCCAGATTTCTATGGAGTTTTATGAACTCCTTTAAAATCTTGGTTGAATACCCATACTTCCATGGAATATCCCTGAATTTGTAACCTCACACTCTTTTAAACTCCTTATTGATTACTACCCCTAAATATATTTTCAATATATATCATTTCTGTGAGGAGGTAGGAACTGCTTCAGTGTCGTATCTGTCTTGGAAAAATATCTTCAAATATTGCTATGAGAATGGAGTTCAATCTAATGGGGTGATTCCTTTAGTTTGAGAAAGATCTCTGGTGATAATTGTTTGAATTGTTTTAGGTTACCTGTATTGGCGGGTGCTGCAGGAGCATTGGGGGCAACATATTGTCCTCCATATATTACTGTTGACGGTTCTTATCATGGTCGCCCATCTGGACAAACATCTTCTGTGGGTTCCCTGAGGTTGGTTGTATGGCGTCTCTTTGATTATTTATGATTCTGAGATAATGGTCTCTCGTTTATCATAACTTGCTTACCTTGTTAGATTTGTCTCTTGCAATACTATGTGGTTCCTTTTTTGCTTATTTTATTTATTTATCTTTCTTGATTAAACTTCCTTGTTCAAGTTGAAATAACTGTTTAACGGGTCTTTCTACTGCCACATGGTCAGGAGATCCTACATTTCAATTATGTTTTTAATAAACATCTATGTCTACCATTCTGAATAATCTTCGTTTATTTGCAGCAAAGAGAATAATGCAAATAAAACCAATAACGAATGGAAGCCTTCACAAAAGCCTGGTATGACATTATATTACACTTAGCTCTGCTTCCCACCTTTTTTTTACTCTTGGCCATTGAGTTGGCCATTTAATAATTTATGAATTGTTATGGTTTGGCATTGACATAGTTTTTCCATTACAGAGATTGTGGGAGATGAGTATGGGCAGCGACAAAACAAGCCTCGTAGGCAAGTCATACCTCATGTTTTCATGAACTAATTATTTATTTGCCAAACTTGCTCCGCTTATCCCAAGGTTGGGTTAGATTGAAGAGGGTGCATTTTATACATTCTACCTTTTCATGCAATCTGAATGCTTTTTTCTTTTCAAGTGCAGATATTCACAGATGAATGTGGCCAGTGAAGTACTTCAAAATAATACGGAGCTTGTTTGAAGAAGCGGATGAAGGTTCTATCTTTGTCCAAATTTAACTTTTCTGCCATATTGGGAGTGCAAAGTTCTAAGTTTTGTTCATTTGGTGCTGCAGGCCTTCGTCTGAGCCCTTTGTGATCTTCAGCCTATGTTCTGGGGCACTCTGGGCCAATGTTTTCGAAGATATCTTAGGTATGTCATCCTTGGTCTTTCGTCAATTTGGTTTTACATGTATTTAATGCTTGACACCCCAAAGTGATAATTCTATTTGGATAGGATAGCACGCCAAGTTGCTTCAATGAGTAATGACATTCTATTTTTTTATGAACCAACAAAATGTTCAATTAAATATTTTGGAAAGGCCTGTGTTTCATTTGTTTGTATTCTCGAAGAATTAGGCACTACAACCACCAGTGTGACTAGTTTTTCTTATTCTGTGCTTGGGCCATGGGAAGATTGACACACTGTTTGTTTTATCCTCGTATTGCCAAATGTATTTTACGGCCTTATAATAATATTTAGTTGTATGCTTATATCTCGTTCTTGTCTGTTTCCCTCTTTTTCCTCTGTTCCTGCAGTTACGTATGACAAACACCTGCTCATGCTGCACTTAATCGAAGATCAATATTGCGGCTTGACGGGTGCCATTCCTTATTTACAATTTCGGTAGGAAACGTTTCAAGTGAAAAAAAACTTAAATATCTTTGTTCTTGTGAATCGTCATCGACTGCTGTGTAATACAGTTGCTTTTTCTGTCTTCAGGTTTTCTTGTGGTTTGGTTGTTATCGAAAAGCTTGTTTGAAAATGTAGACGGGCTTCCACTTAAACTGCTATATAAAAGAAAATGGAAAAAAAATACAAAGAATTGTTGTGCGGTAGCAGCAGTTCGCTCGGCGATGGTTTCTATAAGTTGTTTCATTTTACATATAGATGCATTGGATTTTTTTGTTGCCTACGTTGTTAAAAACCTTTGTGGTAGTATTTTCCTTGTTTAGTTGAGGAGGGTAAGAAGCTCTGCTTGAACTATCGATACTGTAATGACTTGTTTGCTATGAATATTTGATATGTGAATTAATCATGTTGAATTGGAAGAGAAATCTGTGTTTGTTTATTTATTATTTTTTTGAACCGGCCCGGTCTAAGTTTGGTAACCGTGGTGGCGGCCTTGAATCCGCCTCCGGGTCTGAGGTTAGCTATCAAGGCAAGGCTACAGGGACGGAGCTAGAAATTTCTTCTAGCGGGGGCAACTTGAAAGCCAACTAAGATAACCTTATTATAGTATGACTTATACTCAATATGATAGCATGGATTATTTCAAATGATGATGTATCACAATTCTAATGTTACAAAAATTTCAGTATAGTAGTGGAAAGTGGCAAAGTGGTAAGAAATATACTAATACATGATAGGCGGAATAGGATTTTTTTTCCGTATGAATGATAGAATAAGAGCACTTTTGCTCATATAATATTTGATATGAAGTATAAGTAGTATGAATATATGTTGAATATTAAATACATATAATTTTCTCCAAAGCTAAGGCCCATATATATATATATATATATGTATATTATATAACTGTAGTCTGCAACTGAACAAACGAATTACTTGAGTGGGGGCATCTGCCCAATGAGCCTTCATTGGCTCCGTCCATGCAAGGCCAGCTTTTCGTCGCTTTGCGATCAAGGACAGACTTAGAAATTTCTTTTAGTGGGGGCAACCCGAAAATCAATTAAGAAAACCTTATTATAATATGACTTATAACCAATATGAAAATAGGGATGATTTCAAATAATAATGTATCACAATTCCAATGTTACAAAAATTTCAATGTAGTAGTGGAATGTCACGTCCTGGCCCGGACGGATCACCTCCCGGGCCCGCTCCACCACTGTAGCACGATATTGTCCGCTTTGGGCCCCGACCACGCCTTCATGGTTTTGTTTCTAGGAACTCAAACGAGAACTTCTCGATGGGTCACCCATCCTGGGAATGCTCTCGCGCGCTATTCGCTTAACTTCGGAGTTCCTATGGAACTCGAAGCCAATGAGCTCCCAAAATGCCTCGTGCTAGGTAGGGATGAGAATATACATATAAGGATCACTCTCCTGGTCGATGTGGGATGTCACGTGGAAAGTGGCAAAGTGATAAGAAAAATATTAATATATAATTACGCAAGAGTGAGGTTTTTCGGTTTGAATGACAAAACAAAAGCACTTTTACTCGTATAATATTTGACATGGAGTATACGTTGTATGAAAGTATGTTGGATACTAGGTACATATATTTTCTTCAACAATAACGTGTGTTTATTATGTAATTGTAGTCTACGACTTAACAAACAAATCAGTTAAGCAGGGGCATACGCCTCTGGTGAGCCTTCATTGGCTCCATCCTTGCCTGCGATGCAGCATAATTCAAATGCTTATGGGTACTGAAATCTGAGTTAGAAATAGGCGACGTCAACATGATAGAAGTTTTGACGATTAAATCGGACACGGTTGTTTCCCTAAATGATTATTCATGGTGTAAATAGGAGTTAAACGTGACCAACTGCTCGTAACGTCTTACAAATAACGAATCAAGCTTGAATATGCAATCGTCCAAAATAGAAGACACTTGCTAGCCACTTGCGGAATACTCGCAAGTTCTTACAAAGGGGAATTTGTGGGGCCAAGATAATCAGAAGCATAATACAGATGGAGGGCCATGATTGGCTGTGAGACCCCACCGACGCTGCAGTAGGAGCCCGAGCGTACAATTTTATTCAGCGTAGGTCAGCTGCAAGAAGACCCCCAGACCAGACACAGCAACAGCCAGAAGGAGCAAAAGCTTTGAAGTAGTCCGTGCGGCAGAGAATACACACCCTGCCCTGCTTCCGATTCCGTTTACACGAGTTGACCCGCCTGCGCGATCAGACACATAACAATCTCTCTCCGTCTCTAAAATCTCTCTCGGCCATCTTCACACTCACTCACTCTGCAACTTGTGCTTCTCTCTCTCAAGAAAAACCGTCGAGATCTTGGAGGCGCAGCTTCAGAGGCAGAGCATGCAGCAAATCCATGTAATTTCCCTCTCCTCTGAAAGCTCGTATTTGCTTACCCAATCTTCCAGAAATAAGAAAAATGCGTATCTTTGAAATCTTTCTTTATATGTATGTGTGTGTATATGTATGAATTTTAATATTTCGTTGGGCGGTTTGATAGGGAATGAGCTCCGAATTAATTGCATGATTTCTTGGTAAGTAGTAATCAGTGGATCTTTTATGGTCTGTTTGGCTGCCGAGAAAATGGAGCGAAAGAAAATGAATCAAGTCTCTCAAGTTAGTGAGAATTAGGATCGGAGAAAATTTTAGATTCAGCTCTGACCTTCTAGTTGATCTTCATCGATAACTTCGAAGACCGAGAAATTAATGAAAATTTTTGGGATCTTGATTTTTTGTTTTGTTAATTTTTAGTAGAGAAAAATAAGCATTGCTTGAATTAGTTATAATTATTTTCCTGTATGTTCTTGTTGGTTGATTGTGATCACAAATTACTGGGATGCTATTTTTAGACATGGATATGGATGTTTAATTAACATAGAATCTGCGTGTTTATTTTTCGGTTTTATGGTGAAATGCTGAATGCAGTTACTCCGTTTGATTGCTGAGAGCGCCAAGTAGCGCTAAACGGATTAAAATTTCATTCTGTGAGCTATATAAGATTTAAAGAAAATTACAAGAGCCGAGGGAATTCTTTGCTCTGGGCCAATTTGTTTTATTCTGCTTATTTGCTCATTCTTGTGTATAGAGAAAATCATGTTTCTTTACTCTTAATTGCTGCAGAGACCGAATTAAAAAGGAACTGATGTTCTTCGAAGAGAACGATGGAGGAAAGCACTAGAGTGGATTATAAGTCGACGAGAGAAAGTGGAAGTTTTAAGTCTACATTGTCAGGAAGATCCAGTCCTCGAAATTCTCCTTCATTTCGGAGATTGAATTCTAGCCGTACTTCACAAAAAGAAGGTAGAAGTAGTGGAGGTGTGCAGTGGTTTCGGAGCAATCGGGTACTGTTTTGGTTGTTATTGATTACTCTTTGGGCTTATCTTGGAGTTTATTTTCAGTCCAGTTGGGCTCATAGCAATAACAAGGATAACTTCTTGGGGTTTGGAAATAAAGCAAGGAATGAGAAGTCAGACAATGAACAGAATCTGCGGAGAGATTTGCTTGGCAGCGACAGTTCTGTGGAAGTTAAGAATGGGACCACTGAAAATCAGGTGGAAGATGGTAAAAGGATAGATGTGGTTTTAACAAAAAAGGATAATGAAGTTTCATCTCATCGAAGCGCAAGTCCAAAAAAGAAGAGTAAAAGAGGAGTTCGTAGTCTTCGTGGTAAAGGGAAAGGTAATCAGAAGAAAGCAGTGCAGGTTGATGACCATGAGACAGAGGAGCAGGAAGTGGACCTTCCTAAGACAAATACTACTTATGGGATGCTTGTTGGTCCATTTGGCGTTCTAGAGGATCAAATTTTAGAATGGAGTCCTAAAACGCGGTCTGGAACCTGTGACAGGAAGGGGGACTTTGCACGTCTTGTTTGGTCTAGAAGATTTATATTAATATTCCATGAACTTTCAATGACTGGGGCTCCACTTTCTATGTTGGAATTAGCAACAGAGCTTTTGAGCTGTGGAGCCACTGTTTCTGCTGTAGTTCTTAGCAAGAAGGGTGGCTTGATGCCAGAGCTAGCTAGGAGAAGAATCAAGGTGCTTGAGGATAAAGGAAAACAAAGCTTCAAAACTGCTATGAAGGCAGATCTCGTCATTGCTGGGTCAGCAGTGTGTGCATCATGGATTGGTGAGAACCATTTTAAGAAATTCCAAGTTAATATATTTGCTGATCTCACAAATTTTGAAGTGTATAACATTAACTATCAATACCTCCCTATTGTTTTCAGTGAACTGATGTTGTATTAACCCCTATAGATTTTGTATCTAACGTTGAGTGTTGTGCTTATTTAGTTACGGATTTCAGTACCTTTTTAGCCTCTTGAAGTACAGGTTATACATGTAAAAACAGTATGCTTTCCCATAGAGATTAGTCAGCTTCTTGTAGAATTTTTAGATACGATTATCATTTAGCAACATGTTAAATTGGTCCGATGCCTCTAATCTCCCAGAGTGATTTCCATGTAAACAGTTACAGCACTGTATGGATGGAACAACATATATTGCCTAAACAATTTATTCTGTGTTGGAATTATGTAGTTTTCTATTCACCAACTGCTGACCTCCGATACTTCATCCACTTCCATACTAATTGATGCAGGAAATATGCATGTTTTCTGTAATTAAGATGGTTTTTTTTTTTTTTTTTCCCATTCTAGGAGAACAATGACATTGACTAAGTTACTAACCTGATGAAATAGCCATAATATGCTCTGGTTTTTCTTGACCTTATAAGGATGTGTTTATGCACCATTCCATTTATATATACATTTGGAAATCAGTATTCCCTCAGTAATTTGTAAATACATAAATTCCATCTTTTTAACACCTTATTAGTTTATTTTGCATTGATGTGTTTTTGTATGAAGGTTTTCTTAGACTAAGTGACATTTGTCTGTGATATTTTGGAATTCTTAAATTTGTAGCTGATTTGATTTGGCGTCGTTTGCTTGTTTTAGATCAATACATGGATCATTTTCCAGCTGGTGCAAGTCAAATTGCTTGGTGGATCATGGAAAACCGGAGGGAATACTTTGATCGCGCGAAGGTTGTGCTTAACCAAGTGAAAATGCTGGTTTTTCTATCAGAATCACAGTCTAAACAATGGCAAGACTGGTGTGAAGAAGAAAAGATTAAGCTGAGGTCTCCGCCTGTCGTTGTACCACTCTCTATTAATGATGAACTGGCCTTTGTAGCTGGCATAGCTTGTTCACTTAATACTCCATCCGCTAGTACTGAGAAGATGCTCGAGAAGAGGCAGGTATTGCGAGATTCAGTCAGAAAGGAAATGGGGTTAACAGATAATGATATGCTTGTGATGTCTCTGAGCAGTATAAACCCTGGGAAGGGGCAGCTCTTGCTTCTTGACTCAGCACGCTTGGTGATTGAA